GGCTTCGTTCACATGCAATGTCTATTTTCTAAATTCTATTTTCTATTCGCGGCATGTCTTATGATCACGGTCTGTGCCCTGAATATCCCGCGGCGTAATTACTGGCAGAGCGAGCCAGTTACTATAAGTTACTATAAGTAACTGGCTCGCGCTGCCAGTAATTACGCGGCTGGATATTCAGGGCACAGACCGTGATCATAAGATAGCGCGAATAGAAAATAGAATTTAGAAAATAGACATTGCATGTGAACGAAGTCTTAAATACCGAACAGAGACCTTATACCGATGAAATGTTCAATAAATGACAAAATACTTATTTTATCTTGTTCAGAATGGTTTGTTAGATATATCCTCTGCGGGTATGAATAATCAGTTGCTTTACTGTGAATTACAACCATTAAAATGTTATCCAAAATGTATAAAAACGCATGTCACTCATTGAAATTGTATTGTGCCTGAATATTCCAATATTGAAATCAGAAATTTAAATGTTTTACTTTTTCTTTTTCAAGTCAATTGATGCTTATAAGATATTTTTTGTCTACATTCCACAATTTTAAGACACACCAATCGCATTTTAGTATTTAAGTAGGCCTATATCAATAGATACCTTACGCCGCAATATTTAACACTTTAAACTATACAAGGTAAGTTTTCATTTATACAACATTGGTCAAAAAGGTTGTCCCACCCCCATTTCCATGTACTTTTATTTACAAATGATCACCTCACAGTTGTAAATTGTTAGAAATAGTGCTTTTTATTACAGATACCGTGTCTAACATGATTAATGGTTTAAAAAATACAAAATAGGGGTGAAAATATACATATTTTATTCCATTTAGTAAAATTTATAAGAGGTACCCCCTCAAATCCACTGTTTCACCGTGACTTCTACAGATGTAAAGAAATATCTATAAAATTGAAAAGACGCCATCAAATGTAACCAAATTCACACACAATTAGCATTAGGATGTGTTCGTTAAAGGCCACGTGCCTAACAGCGCATGCATCTACCGCGTACTTCAATTATCTCCTGTAGACGGCGCGACAAGCCTTCAACACGGGTAACAATTCTGTTATGTGAGACCCATCCTAAAGAGCGTGGCGGAATTGGTCAAGATTATTTGGGAATTGGTTTAGGATGAGTGGGACAATATCCCACAATGGGACAATATCGGAAGTACATGAACTAACCTGCTTTCATGTATTGTAGTGAGGATACAGGTTTTGTAATGTAATATATATTAGAAGAAAAGTGTTAAATTTTTACAATGCCTATTCCCATCCCACATACTGCTGTCCCCAAATTTATTATCAATATTGTACATAAACAGACACTGACGGTCATATAGAATTGACATAACTGTTAAAAATATATATATATATATATATATGGTCCAACTCCCTGGATGGATTTAAAGAATGTCACGGAAGTTTGAATTTCTTTCAACATTCTCCCTGGCAGTATTATTATTATTATTATTATTATTATTATTATTATTATTCAGTATTGTTATCTTACTGTTGAATATTATTTGGTTTCACTCTTAATATAAATCACCTATTGTATTTTGTTTGAAAAGCAATAACATTACGTGCAGCCCAGTGTAACATGAATAGGGCCTAATATGTACACTTATTTTTTGTACTACGACAACAGCTTTTCACATCAGTGACGTCATCAGTCAGGGGCCTACCAAAATGACCTGTCTCCCTGAGGAGTCTTGCTAAATTGTTGTCAACTTGACCGGCTTAAATGTCTGTCGCGCCTAGTAAGCTGTTAGAGGGTAATTATCTTTATCCCCTAGCTTATTCGGTAGGCGTGACAGACATTTAAGCCCGTTAGTTGACAGCAACTTAGTGAGACTCCCCAGGGAGATAGATCGATCCAGATGGATCGATCTAGGCATGGAAACCCAGTCTTAGTTTTATCTGTTTTGATAACCTCCCACTGATAAGGTTGAAAGAACGATATATCTCGTTTCATTGATACAGCATGGGGAATGATTCAGCACAGAACGGTGAGTCGGTTCTTCACACAAAGATTACAAAAATTGATATTGTGTCGATATTCAGAACCGATTTAATATATATATATATATTCCAACTACTGGGATTGGCTTGGATGGAATTGTACTCTCAATAAAAATAATCGAAAACCTAAGGTCGTTCGTCATAAAGGAGTTTTTCCAGAGATACCGTAGAAGCGATTTTTCCTTTTAATTTTATCGTCAAGTAACATCTATGACATGTATAATACCCGATTTATCTATCCCATTTTTTCCTGGTGATAGCTTCATACAATTGTCTGACAATAATGAAACTGATTACATTGACTGCGCCCTAGCGAGAATCCCCGCTGAGATAGATAGATCCTGCTGGACCGATAGGTGTTTATCTGAACACAGCCTACGGACTTTCAACAATTAACAGGTGTTTGAGGTCATTTAAACGCATAAAGAAACTACACATTGATTAAGGAGAGAGGACAATATTTGCACTTAATCAAAACCGGATATTTATGTTAGAACTCAAATCAAAGAGTTATCGACCAGGGGGTACGTTACAACCGATACAAGACCTATTGAATCTATTTAACGCTTGTTCCTCTCAGTTAAGGATAACATATTGACATAAACGTTGTATATCGCACTAACCTCTCTGTCCTTGCTACTTCTTTGTAAGTATATTAGGTCGTTATATAAAATACGACTTGCCTGGTTGGCAGACAGCGGCCATATGTAGCGTAGGGTGTGAGACGTGTCATCGGGAATTTGACTGTCCCTAAAATAAACGTATCTAGGCTGGGGTCCTTTATTTGGAAATTGCAGGCTAAAATCCCCCACTTACTTATATGCAACACATTGTGCTGACTTTTTTCTTTTATGCAGGCTGATAAGAACCTATGGCAACCTGTAAATAATTTACTTGAAAATATTTGAAGCATGTTTACCTTACGTTTTCCGCGCCTCTGAGATTAAAAGCAAGTATCATTGTTGCCAAAAAGCTATTGTAAGGTCTATTTTAGTGTACCTTTGATCGCGGCACCACTCTACTTACATCATTTGATTTGATGTCATAAAAGTAAAAGAAATTGTGAAAATATTTCTTATAAACATTTGCTTCGGAAACGCAGGGCAACTACGTGTATTTTTATAAAGAAAAAAATTTTAAAAGACATGCTGATTTTAATAATGTCACTTAGTTTGAATAATGCACAAGAATAAGACCCCATTTCCATAGATTTTTAGATCGATCTATACCTGTGGGGAGTCTCACTAGATTACTGTCAGCTTGGCCGGCTTATGCGTCTGTCCCGCCACTAAAAGCTGTAAGGGGGTAATTAACTATGGTGCCCGCTCGGCTGACTGCTATTTAGCGTGAACCCCCAGGGAGTTAGGTCGATCTAAATCTTAATCTCTAGATCGATCTAAATCTCTGGGAAAGCACCCTAAGTGATGAGGCATTTTGGGACCTTTTTTTATCTAAACTGTTTTTACATACATATTCTATCGCAATTTCTTTCTCTCCCTCTTTTTTTTTTTGCAATGGTAATATAACGTAAAATACTGCTTTTGATGTATTTGAACGTTTATTCCTCTTTAAAAGATAACCACTGAAATAAATCAAATATCCGTTTAATCTGAAAATTATAGTAAATAGAGTAGACATTTGATTAAACAAGTAAGGAGGGAAACACTTTTCGTGGAATCTTCACTATGTACGCAAATAGTGATAATTTGATAGGACAACACGCATATAGATAATAAAAAAACTGTTTGTCAGATTTCTTTGTTCAGCAATTCTTTTTTAACTATATCGTGGATCGAATTTTCATTTTAGTTACCTGTGCCACATGTAATATTGAAAACAGGTGAAAATGTTGTTTTGCACACTGACTGGAACCGGATTATTAAACTTTGTAATCTCTTGCAAAATTTTTATTCTGGAATTTTCCATCGTCATAAGTCATATGGTGGCTCTATACAGGTAGATGCACAGGTATCTGTGTGATATGGCACTCGTGAATTTCCACTCCATTTAACCCCGTGAATCAAGTAGAATCTATAAGCTTTTTAGGCCTGATGAAATACTTTACCTTTTCAGTGTCAACTAGTATGCAAGGCCTTTTTTTGGTGATATTATTAAAAATGGAAAAGAACAAATTTAAGAGGTCGCAATTAATATTCCTATTTCTAAAAATCAGGCGGAGACACCATGTCTCCTAATCTAGCACAATTTAAAATCTACATCACCATCTCTTTGCAGGTGTGCCACGTGTCGACGAAAATTTGACAGTCCCTAACATAAACGTATCTGGGCTGGGGTCCTTTTTTTTTGGCCATTGCGGGCTAAAATCCCCCACTTACCTATGCAATGCATTGTGCTGATTTTTTCCTTATGTGGAGACTGATTAAAGGTTTTGGCAATCTGTCAAAAACAAACTTGACAATAGGCACAGGCTTGTTTACCTTTTGTTTCCCGCCCCACTAAGATAAAAATCAAGTATCATTGTTGCGAAAGAGCTATTGTAAGATCTACATTGGCTTCCTTTGATCGTGGCACCACTCCACTTCATTTGATGTCATAAAAGTAATTTTTGTAAATGCTGTTAGATGAATTGATGATGTTTGCAAAATACTTTTCATACAATGTTTGTTTCGAAAAAGCAGGGCAGATATGTGTACTTTCATAAAAATATTCAGACATGCTGACTTTAAAAAATTCAAAACTACACATAGCGGAATAATGCACATAAAATAAGTGACGAGGGATGAGGCACCCTGGGACCTTTTTATCTATACAGTTTTTACATACAGTAAACCTATATTCAATCTTAACATTGAAAATCTTCGGTGATACAGCATGTTACTCACTGCATGGCTGTGATCTAATTATTAAATTTTGTAATCTCTCTGTAAACTATTACCGGGATTTCCCGTGGCCATAAGTCATATGATGGCTTTACTGGTACATGTGGATGGTTAACCCTCTTATCGCCGTGACGTTAACCATTAACCACGAATCATGTGGTCTTAAATCTAATAGCATGTTTAGGCATGACGATATGTTTCACCTTTTCAATTTTAACGGTATTATGCAAAATATTTCTGGTGATAAATTTCGTTCTGTAGTAGAGGCAAAAATCAATTCAAGGAAGACGCATTATGCAAATTTCGAAAAATAAATCTAGCGGTGACACCTTGTTTCCTTATTAAGCAGAACCTAAATTCTATTTCATCGACTCGATACTATGTAGGCCCCTACAAAACGCATATGCTATGGGAGGGGGGGGGGGGGGTAAGAGTGGAGTCGGCCCTTTTTAGGGTCAGAGAGAATAGTAACAGAAGTGTATACTAAATACGATGCAAGAGTCATTCGGGTTTCTTTGGAATGTTAATCGTCTTGTATAAACGCTGTCATATTTTGATATTCAAAAATAAGTCTTTGGTCCTGTAAAAATGTCATTGATTAGTCTTTGACTTAAAGTGTGGTCTCCACCCTTTGGACAACAGGAACGTGGTTGGAGTCCTGTTGGATTCCTTGGGTTTCGCCGTTGTCATTGTTGTCGCTGTCGGTTTCAGCACCATCTGATAGTTCTAAAGATTGAAAAACAAAACGTCCATGATTTGATTCAATTTCCCGACACTTAAAATTCTGTAACTAGTTCGAAAGACTTACGATATCAAAGTGAACTTGAGACTGTACATCAGTTTAAGTCATCCTATTCTCAAAATGCAAGATGAATATATAAGCTGTTGAATAGTTGGAATATCTAATTTAATTCACTTGTTTTAGTAATTAGATAAATCTTTTACGTAACGTAAGACTTAATTATACCACAAGCTGCTGCAAGCATCTAGAGAAAATCTACTACGTTGCTTGTCATTTCGTTTACGCCTTATATCCCCCACCCCTTCAGCCCCACACACGCACGTGCGCGCTCACCGGGATGCGTGGTTCCTTCTACCGCACAGGCCAAGTGCTCACGGTGGGGGTCGTGTCGCAGGATCTTGATGAGCCTCTGGAAAATCTTCACATTCTTAGACTTCAGTATTTCGAGGAATTTTCTGGATCTCTGTGGTTTCTGCGCTGTATTCCTTAGTGCCTCAAGTTCAGCC